AGGGACTAACATAACTATACTAACTTTCAGAATGGAGGAGCTGTGGCAATCAAGGGACAGAATATGAACCTCACACCACCACCTGCTTTTGCAAACTACACGGCTTCTCTGCAAACATCAGAATTGATGCTTTCTTTACTCCAGTCAGTAGTGACGGAAGACCACCTTTTTCAATTACTCAAATTGTTCTATTTACACTTGTCACGTAATCTTGTTGTGTGCTGCTCATCCTTCGCCCTAAGCCTCTCTTAGCCCTGAGCTTCCTGTGAGACAACTGCACAAGCATGAAGAAAAGGGGGTGTCCTGGTTTGGTAGCATTCATTTTAACTCATTACTAACTGCCCAAGCATACCCACTCCCACATGGTTTGTTTTTTCTTTAGCAGAGGACTGTTCACAACTAATGTGAAGTACCAATGGAAAAACCTTCAGCGTTTCTGTAATTTTTGAGCTCCCCTCTCAGGTACTTTGGAGCTTTAGGACTTTGTGTTTGTAGTGGTGAAAGGCTATTCCAGTTCTCGACTGTTTTCTGTGGCCTGCCTCACCCTTTAAGTGTGCTCAAAAAGGAGAACGGATCACAACTTTAAACAGCATCAGTGTGGCAGAACTCTGTGACACAAGGAAACTGCGTTTCAAGACATCATCTAATCTACAGACAGAAATCTATGGCAGAAACCAGAGGACATCCGTGTGGACATATTTTGACCTACATGCTTCAGAACTGGAAGCCATGCCATCTTAACAGCAGACCTGTGTGAGCTCCTGGCTTAAATAAAGACCTAACACGAGCTGACAAGGTTGTCAGCATCTGGCCTCGTTGGGAGGCGGCATCTCCCAATTCTCAAATTTTTGCTCTTATTCTAAGAAATAAAAAATACAGCTTAGTACCGTGACCTTGAAAGTGTTGCCATTCTCTGATCTAAATTTTGTCCCCCGTGGCAGGAGCAGTTGTCCCCACTCTGGTGGGTGTCCAGTTTGTTCTTTGTCTCCAGCAATCAGGAGATTCTCCTAGTCTCCGCTGTCCTTGAAGTTTTTCCCACCCGGCAGTGGTAGTTACTCAACAGAGGCAGTGGGAGAACCACAGCAGCACGCAGCCTGGGCTGCCTAGTGAAGCTGGTAGAGACAGGCCTTTCCCTTCAGCCTTCTGTTTCCTTTAGGGCAGGGTGGGCCACACATCTTCCAGCCCTGAGGTCATCTTGCTGTTCTTCCTTCCCGCTTCACTAGTTCTGTTGGCTCCCTCACAGTCAGGTCACCTTAACAGCAGATGTCTGGCACTTGCTCCTCCTTACAAGCTATTGCCGTTTCCCACAAAGATGCTAAGGCCGTTAGCACAGCTTGCCTCCTGTCACTCAGGGGTCCAGTTTCCTCCACCTTTGGCGCTGCCCATGTGCTGGAGCACTGCCAGGATTGCTTACAGTGCAGAACTACAGATTCCTTCCCTAGACAAACCCCAGGAGTGCAGTTGTGGTTAGACTGTTTCTGGGTTCACTCCAACAGGCAGCAAGACCAGGCTAGGTTTCTCACACCCGCCATCCAGCACCACCATACAGCGCTACTCTGTCACGATAGGCACCGCCACACACCTCTGCCTGCAAAACGGAGGATGTCCGACTGTAAAACAAGTGAAATACAAGGCACTGTGAGGCTGCTTTCTCCTCAGCTTTGATGATTACAGGAAATATTAATTTTTACAGCTTTTGAAACCTATGCAGCCCCATGGACTAGGCCAAAATGACAGCATTCCTTGAGCCATCGCAGGCCCATGTCAGTCACAATTGCAAGAGCCTACCTCACAGCTCCCACTAGGTATCTTCCTACTGAGGAACTGAAGCAGCCTGCTCTATATAGGATGAACCATAAGTAGTGGGTCCATATATACTCATCTGACCTTGGGGACGGGGAAAGGATAAGCACAGCCCATACTGCCAGCTTTTAAACTGTTTTGGTTCCTTCACCCTCACAGAGAACAATGACTAAAGGAAGCAATTTAGGGATAACATGCAAGAACTCAAATTTTCAGAAAGAAAGCCACACAAAACAAGCAACCAGAGCAGAACCTTCCTTTCCACTCCTTTAAGCTTATCTTCACCACAGAAATATCCTCTCATCACTTATGAAGTTTCTACCTTGTATCAGCTTTTCTGTATTCAAATGATGCTTATCACTAGATAATGAGAGAGAACCACTGTCCAACCAGCTGAAAGAAAAATTTCCAGAAAAGACCACCTGTTCTTCCACAAACCTTCAACAAATCAGTAGATTTTCCTTTCAGGGCTTCCAGATCTCTGCTTTAATTTTATCTACTTGACACAGAAAGACAATAGTCCAGGGTACAAGCATAACATTCCTGAAAAGCTGCAATTATATCTAAGGGAGCTAATTGTGAAATATTCTCCCCACTTTCCATCCAGGCATGACTGATCATTCAGGAGTAAGGTCTGTTGTTTCTATCCTTAGATTGTACCATGAGACTACCCCATTTTGACATGGAATTATGCATGAAGCCATTATTTGCAGGAAACATTTACAGTATCTCGATATACCTCCAGATTTCTATGACAGAATCCCAAACATTCGATTGTAAATAAACTTATCATATGTCCAATAAGATTAGTAATTTGAACTTGCATCTAATATTCAATCAGGCAATCCAAGTCTATGTCAACAAAGAGGCACAGAACATTGATAGTCAGATGAGGCTCCTATTTCTCCTTCCCCAGTTCTCCTAAAGCCTAGCCAAGTCATGACTGAATCAAAAATTATTTGGGAAAGAAGTGACAGAGATGAGGCAACCAGTAAGGTATCTAGATAACTTGCTTTCCTTTTTGGACATGGTACCAAAAGGACTCTTCACCCAACGCCTTTAAAAGGTCATCAGGAAAATATTTCCTTTCTTTTAAGAGACACAAACCATCAGTATTTCCTACTCTCCTAACTGGAATTTTCCAGAGAAGTACAACTAGCCACAGCAATTTATTCAGACAAAAGGTTCACTCATCACAGCTGTAATATTTTGTATAATACTTTCAAGGGCTAACTAAGAGACTTAATGGAAACCATACAGAGGTCTCTACCACAGTCTGTCATAGATACTTATTTTTCCCCTGAAACATAGGTGGTAAACTACATGTGAAATAAGCATGTTTCCAAACCAAAATGGGGCACTCAAGAGAGAAGCTTGTATTTCAAGCAGAAACAATGAAGTTGTGGATGCCCCCTCCCTGGAAGTGTTCAAGGCCAGTCTGGATGAGGCTTTGAGCAACCTGATCTAGTGGAAGGTGTCCCTGCTGATGGCAGGGGGGTTGGAACTAGATGATCTTTAAGGTCCCTTCCAATCCAAACCATTCTATGATTCTATGAAACTATGAGCTAGGTCAGTGGACAGACTAAGATTTTTCTTCCAAGTACAGTTAAGAAACCAATTATTTTAGTGAGGCACCTGAAAAAGAGTACAAGGTCTGAGCTACCAGATTGTTAAATGGTCCCATAAAACTTCTGAATTACTTCTATACTTTGAATACAAAATATTCAAATATAACAACAAATCAGTTTCAAGTTTCTTTTCGGTTACAGATGCATTTTATTAAAAAAAGCCCACTTTATGTATAAGGCAGCTTTTACCTCTGCGTTTGCTACTGTTCCTCAATAACTTTTAAAACCATTCAAGGAGAGGTGGAATTGCCGTATGTTCCTGCAACCTTTATGGAGCATCAGTGCCTGGACAGAAAGCCCCAAATCCAGTGAGCAAGATCTCAAATATGATGAACCCTACCCTGTCCTAACATATGTACACACTTCAGACTAGTCCAAGCTGCATTGTGACAAGCCCAGCAGATGTCAAGAGAAAACACAGGAGGAAACTGAGGCTACTATGGTAGAGAAAAGGGGTATAAAGCACACAAATCCATCCAAAGCTTTGTTTTGCTACTTGGAGGACAGCTTTCATTTTAATTGGCATTTTAAATCTATGTAACATGCATTTTTCTAACCATTTTTTGGGTATCAAAGTAATTTCAGATGACAGAATAATACTGACCTAAAGTGTTAATATATCTTTAACAGTACTGTTTTTAGCAGATAAACCTCAAGATGATTTTTAAATTGTCAGAGTAGACTACAGTCGATGAGTAAACCTGCTCTATGACACTTAAAGAATGGGCTTTTACAAGGCTTATCCTGCTACATAGAATATTTTAAAGAACAAAACACTTTTAAGATCACATTCAAAACACTGTTTTTTAAAATATCATGATATCTTAAAGAGACTAATGATTTATTCAATGTAAATGCAATGTATAAAGTCTCGGAGTTCCAAATACACATCCAGTCGGCCATTTCTATTTTTGTGCAAATTACTTAAAATAATTTAAAATCTAACAGTGTCGAGTAACATCCTACCTCCAAAGTTACAGAACTGATGTTTTTTCACATCTGCTTGAAATTAGACTTCCCAGTTTTACTAAATTTATTTTTTGATTTAAGACAAAGAAAAAAACTGTAAACAATTACTGTAACAGCAGTTAGCAACAGGAATGGGTAACAACTGTCAGTCTTCAAATATAACTTAAGTTATGCCCTTTCTTACAGTCAACTTTTTATCAAATATGTAAATAAATACAAGAACTAACACAAATAAAAGTTACCACTATAAGAAAATACATTATATGCTGCAATTTGGAATAAAATATCATACAATACTGGCTGCATCATTTGGAATACGTATTTCACTGCTTAACACAGTTTGATGCTAAGCAGTTAAACCTTGTCTTTCTGTAGAGGACTACACTTGTACTCACTGTTAGAACTGTGTTTTGTGATTAATTTTATACTAGTATATTAAACTCCTAAATGTGAAAATGACTCAAGTCATTTAGTGAAAGAAGATACCATAGGCACCATAATATTTTTTTTTTTCTTTTTAAACAAAATATGGTGATGAACCAGCAGTAACAAAGTAGGATGAAAATTAAAAGGCACATTCAGGCAAAAAATAATCAACACAGTTTGCATGATGCTATATTTAAAAAAAATAATTTATGCTCTGAATAATTGATTGGATCAGGAACAAATATTCTGGCAGATTCTAATCTGCCAGAGAGAAAGTAAATTTTGTAAAAGGTGTGCAATTCAAATAATATAGTTATTTTTTAAGGTTTATTTTGTTTGTTTGTTTTAAGGTCAGTATAAGGCTTATAACCAAGTGCACGTTAAGAGGACTGACTACTCAAAACCTCTTGTTTTCTGAGTGCATAGAAATACAATGAGCAATGAAGATATTCCTTGCAAGAAGATGCATTCTTGTATATGTGCAAATCTTAATCAAGTACTTGAGCGTCTTTCAGGTCTTGGAACACATTTCATAATCGCAGCTCTCCACAGGGCAGGGGCAAGTAAAAGGCTTAGAGTAGTCACACTCAGAATAAGAAGATAGACCTGAAAATCGCAAATAAAAGCCATTACTTCTCTTAGTTACATGGTAAACTAAGAAGTGAATAGAAGTTTGAGTAGATTAGACTCTTCTGGACGGTATTTTCAGGAGACTTCACCTATCTTTCTAAGCAACTATGCATATTGCTACAAAAGCAAACAAGTACACGCTAAAATCATCTAGTTATCTGTTTACCTGGTTTGAAGATACAAGTACAAAAACAACATTATAAGCTTATAGAAAAACAATTATCTACACATATAGTTAAGAGGTCAATTTTGAAAGCTCAATGTTTGCTAAAAGGTCAAAGGCCAAATACCATTTTATTTAAATAAAAAACACCACACCCCAAACTACTCTGTAGTTTACTACTATTTTATACACTAAAAAAAGCAAACAAAAATCCCTTTAAGTCATACTGCACGTCTTCTGAAAAAAAGATCTATATAGTCTGAATGAGTCTTACAAAACAGCAGCAGGAAGTAGTTTTGAGGTCTCAAACAGAAGAATTACTTTTTTTGAAATTTCAGATCCCATACAGTAGATAATCACGTGGGAGCTGCCAGAGAAATAAATAAAAGCCTAAAGGGCCTCCAAGCGCAGTGGGTGGGCCCCTAAACTGGTTTGGGCATCCTGAAACTCTGTACAAACATACAATATTTATAACTGCTAATTATATACAGGAGTGAACATGAAAATGAATCACCTTTACCTATACAAGTGAACAGCATTGTGTAAGTTTTTCACACGTGCTTGATTTGGAATGAATTCCAGCGTTCTACAGCTCACTTGCTCACACAATGAAAAGCTCGGAGTGCCAGCAAAGTACTTTTGTGAGCAGAGATACAGCGGAGGGAGCAGCTAGCACTAGGGAGTGAGGTCAGTTCTTGTATCTCTATAGCCATCTTCATCTTGAAAAAAATAACATTCTCACAGCTCCAATATAAGACTAAGTTTAAGGTGTCTTTCCTAAGAGATTTTTTTCATGACTACTGAAAAAGCTGGTTGTCTCTTCCACACAGGATTTAAAATGAACAAGCTTTGTAGGTAAAGATTACAAGTTTGCTCGTTTAACTGTTAAGGCAATTTCCACTTCAGCATATATGCTCTATAGTTCTTATTTACTGATATGTCCTTATTCAAATCCTATACTCTCAGTTACCTCTTTCTATAGCTATTTCAAGATTTTAAAAGCCAAGGCTTCTCAGTCTTAGTGACTTTGGGTGCTATCTACAACTCACTGCTTAGTTAATAAGGAAGTTGTACCTGAGAGCCGTTAAGATAACGCATTTCTAATGAAGCTATTTAAAACCTGCTATTTAAAATATTAAAGTACAATTGAAACAAGTTAAAAAACAGAACTCTGTCAGGGACACACGTCTCCATTTGTATGGGCTGACTCTACTTATTAACAGTTGAGAGATGCCACAAAATTGGAGTGTATTGGTATTTCACCGTTAATACAAAATCCCAGTAAGTTATTCAGCTGCAAAAAATGAAGTTAATAACTATAGGAGAGCTTACCTCCCGAGATATGATCCCTGCTCTGCGTGCTCTGCTTCCCAGAACAAAAGAGAATTCACTGACTTGTGCCAGTCCTGCTGAGACAATCCACTTGATATACTGGCTGGTTTTTGGAAGAATCAGAGAAAGGACAAGCACTGCCAAGACAAACTTTAAAAACAGGGGTTTTTTTTTGATTGTTGTGGGTTTGTTTTGTTGTTTTGGTGTTTTTTTTTAATAAAAGAAATGCAATAAATAAAATAGTACAATCTTTGTAAGATACATAGCATCAAATAAAATAATTCTGGACATAAAATAAACCAGTGGACTTCTAAATGTGTCTTCTGTATTAATATCAAGAGACAAATGTACATTGCAAAGTAAAAAGTAATATCTTGTTTACTATAACTTGATAACTTTGTCACAAATCCCAAGCTAGATAAACAGGTGCGTCACCATGTGTAACTTACTTTTAACATTAAATACAGTCCTTTTTTTTAATATCCTAAGAACATTGTCTCAAACTGTATTTTAATCATTAAAGATTCCCCCAAATAGAGATTTACAGTAGAGATGGAATATTCTCTGTTATATCAGATGTTCAGTTCTTGCACAGAATTTTCATTAGGGCATGTGGCACTAAGATTATTTAGACTATTAAAAGATAAAAAAAAAGAAAAAAGGAAAATACCTTCATTATGACCACAGACAATGTAAGGAATAGTAAGACTGTGAGTTCATATATTACAAATGTGGGGAAAACATGAAGTCCTAGGAGGAAAGAAAACAATATTTCAAAGTTAAAGGCCAGTATCTTACTATGATAATTTTCTGAGTTAATAATAGATTTTATTGCAAGATTGTATTCTCAAAAACAAACAAAAAGCCCTAACATACCTACTATCACTACCTACTTGACCACTAAAGCACTTCTTGCATTATCCAACCATTTTTCTTTTGGAGGGGTTTAGCACAAAAAATATTCCCAGTTGAGTTAAATTCTGTGTGACTGATACATGACCACTTTAATTTGTAAAGTTTTCTCTCTTCCATACAAGTCAACAATCCAGAATCTGAACTGAAACACACTTCTAATGAAAGCTATAGAAACACTGCAGGAAAACAATTCCATTCTTCTGCAAGGTGACTGTAATATACATTTTGCTAGCCATTTAACATTTTTGTATGACATGGTAATGGACCATCACTGGGGGAGGAACATGATATTCAGTATTTGCAGAGACTATAGCTACAACAGAAAATGTAACTTTTCTGATCCCATGAATCTCACTTGCAAAAACTGAAAGACACCTGAACTGGGAAGGTCCCTTAGACTGGAATCAGGTGAAGTCATAAATCCCTGAGCATGATCTAACAATTAAGGAATTATATAAAACTCCATTGCTATGATGTTGGTGTTTTTGGTGTGGGGTTTGGGGTTTTTTTTTTGGGGTGGAGGGTGTTAATTTTTTTTTTGCAATTCTTTTATCATTTTAAGTCAGTAACTATATGAAGCAAGATAACAAGAACCATAAAGAACACAGAAATTTTAAACTAAATCCTGCTAATATTACACATAAGAAAAAGAAGTATTTGTTGGAGAAGTCCTGGAGTCACTGCACAAGATTCTTACTCGCAGCTGACTAAGTCCATTTTCTTTCCTTCTAGAGTATGATGAACTCGTGCAGGCAAATATAACTGCGTATCTTTGGAAGCTCATTTCTTTTTCATTAAAGCTCTTAAAAAGAGGAACCAAAATAGTGGTGATGTTCCTGATAAATCCATAACAGTTGGCAGTTCTCCAAGCCAGTTATTTCTGGTGACGGCCAAGAGTTTAGCTTTCTAAAGCACGAGGCATGTAAATCAATGCTCTAACATCCTACTTTAATGCAAGACAAGTTTTCGCTCATTTTCCCTGCCCCATAGTGCTGCAGAGCTAGAAGAAATGTAGAGAACCAAGAGTCGTCATCTCTTCCTGAGTGCACAAGAGAAGTTACTTACAGTAAATTCACAATGTTCTGCCCATAGGCACACTCCACCCTGGATGGAAACATACTTCAAGCCCATTAGAGATTTTTATACGAGTACTACCCAGTCAGCATGTGCACATCCTGTTCTATTTCTTAATTGCCTTCCAACTACTGAAGGACAAAAGCAAGAGACTATCAGAGTAAGAGAAGAGATAGCAGAAGAACAGAAGAACACCACACCAAAAACAGAAATCCAAATGTATGCACACATGCATGTGGAGGGGCAAGTATCTTTTTTTCCTGTGCATCACGTGCACGTTGCTCACGCACCTTCAGGCTGGTCTCAAACCTATATGAAAAGCAACTAGAGAAATATAGTAACAATGTCACATTTGATAAGAAGGGCAGCTCTGCCACATCTGGAATTGAAGATTTCAGAGGAAGGCTATAAATATAGCCTAGTGCTCTCACCACTACTGGTGGAGCTACCTTTTCAGTTCTGGAGCAGACAGACAGTCTGAAGTCCATTTGAACTACTGCCCAACGTGGAGATTATTACCATATTCCAAAGAGCTGAGGCACAAACTCCCACAGATGTGTGTCTATGCCAATCCCGTGGAGGTAAGTGTCTGCAAGGTGACGCAAGCCTAAACCTGTTACGTCCACTATTCTGAGCAAACAAATAAACATCCCAGCACACAGATATGTTTTGGGGGAAATAAATCCCACCACAGTGGATTTCATGGTCATTACAGACCTCTGTCCCAGCCCTAGATGAAAACTTAGGATAAGGTCAGAAGTCACATCAGATTGCTATACGAGCACTCAAAGCCTTCCTGACAACACAAACGTCATCAGAGAGATTAACTTCACAGACAGGAGGTGCATGAATATGGACATTTATTTCAATGGTTTTAATCAGACTTTGTGACTAAGCTCAGGAGTTACTATGGACCTGTTCTCTAAAATGGAAGAAATGCTTCAACCAAATAATTCAAGAACTTCAGCACTGTCATGAGGTAGCATGTGGCATGTTGACCTGTGACCAATAGCTAGGTTATCACTCAGGTACATTTTCAGAGAGCTGAGCATAAGCCACCAGACTTCAATTCTAAGCAGTGTCCAGGAATAGCTGGAATGGAGGCCTTGAGGTGAAGGTGACCTTGCATCAATGTTGAGCCAAAAAGGCACAGTTCACTCATAGAAATTGGTATGTGTTCTTCTGTGGATGATTACAGGCTTATAAGTACTTTTTTCTTAACAAGTAAAATCCCTCTACCCCTGGATTTGACAGATTCCACCAGTCTGCTGGATGGCCACTAAACAGCAAGTGAAGATCCAAACATCATGACCACATCCTAGAAGATCCAGCATCAAGAAAATAATCTTGGACACCCTTGACAGCAAACAAGATTACATAAAGCAGAACCCTGTTGGTCAAACTGGGGCCAGTTGAGTTAATTTTGACACGTCTTCAAGACAGGACATCACTCAGAAAAATCACAATAGCAATACACTGGGATGCTCTATCTATGAAGACTCTCAGTGAACCCACAATCATAGCTAGCAAATGCAATAAATGCTACAGCCCTGGATAGATAGTTAAGTAGCAGAGGGGAAAACCACAATTCCTCTCCATCTTTCTGCAAAGGGGAAAGCCCCCTTGATTCTAATGCCAGTTTGGAGTTTCACTGTGTTCCATGCAGGACAACAAAGCAGTAGAGCTGGATGGATGAAGAGAAGGCAATGGAAATCACCTAATGAATTCCAGTTGGGATCTTCCTTTGATTTTCCTCAAATTCAACAGAAATGTTAAGAGGCTTATCAGGGAAACATTGTGTGTGTATTTGTTCTGGACAATGGTAGTGCTGACAGTATCAGCATCACCCATCTTCTGAAGAAAAAGACCATGCTGTCAAAGGGTTGTCAGCATCTTGCATTCAAGGTCCAACACTGCCCACAGGATTTACTGAGAAGGGAAACACGGAGCCTGGCAAGTGAGCACATCTGTACAACACGTTGAGAACACACAACTTCTGTCCGTCAGTGGAAGTGATCTGCCTCCTCACCAGTGCCAGACTGGGCAGATCTGATCCCCAATTTCAAACTCCATACACCTTGCAGACTGACAAAAAATGGGATATTGAAGCCTTGAGGGGAAAAAAAAAAAAAGCCAAACAATCTATGCAAAGATGCCTTCCACCTTTCTATAAAAAGGACAAAAAAATCAGATGATGCAGAGGTGGAAAGAGAAAGATCTGAATACTAGGTACCAAAACAGAAATGAGAAAGAAAGTTCTCAAAACTTGGCTCTAAGGGATTGGTCCAGATGTTCTCTCAAAGATATTAGTGAGGACAGAGACTAACAGGAACTTTGTAACCTCAGCAGATAGCATAGAGCCAGAAACCTTGAGCAACACATACAGGCCTAAATGAACATACAAATGGAGAGCAACTCAAAGTGCAGTTGTAATGCCTGACTGCAAAGGTGTATTATTCCCACAAATGCACCCATGTGCAAATTTGAAAGCAGCGGCATTACACAGGTCAAGCTAAGGGCAGGACCACTGTTGGAGACACTACATGAGCAAGCACTATTCAGCTCAGCTTTTAGGCACCAGTTTGGATGAGTAATTAATTTCTGTAGTGAGAACAAAAAAGCAGGCACTGAGGACAAGCAAAACGGGAACTAACTTTTCCAAATGACACATTTACAATCACTTTTCAATTAAGTCAATTTTTTCTATTTATTCCTTTATTCTAAAAGGAACAGAAATTATATTACTTCAGCAGTGTACCATCCCACCTCACGATCTCAAGCGTTTCTGCTCTCTATAGTAGGGTGCTTGCTGCATATAGCAACAAGCCTTCTCTTTAGGTGTGTGTGCGGGGGCAGGATATTTCCCTGTGGCCTTTGCATAATTTCACATAGTACATCTCTATATATTTATAGATACATATCATTTGCATGTGTAGATAAATAAGTAGAGAGCAAGCAAGAGGTATTTTCATAGAATCATAGAATGGTTTGGATTGGAAGGGACCTTAAAGATCATCTAGTTCCAACTCCCCTGCCATCAGCAGGGACACCTTCCACTAGACCAGGTTGCTCAAAGGCTCATCCAACCTGGCCTTAAACACTTCCAGGGAGGGGGCACCCACAACTTCCTTGGGCAACCTGTTCCAGTGTCTGACCACCCTCACAGTGAAGAATTTCTTCCTAATATCTAATCTAAACCTGCCCTCTTTCAGCTTAAACCCATTTCCCCTTGTTTTGTCACTACCTGCCCTTATGAAAAGTCCCTCCCCAGCTTTCTTGTAGGCCCCCTTCAGGTACTGGAAGGCCGCTATAAGATTTTCTCACTGTATTTCTTTTGAAAAAGCTTAAGGAATAGTTTTTATCCTACTCGGGTTTTCTTTGCAACTTCACATCACTCCTTTTTAAAACCTACCTCCTCATCACCCCACAGAACTTCCTGTTAACCACAGAATTTGAAAGCAATTGAAAGCAAAGGGGGAAGGGTAGGATAATGTTTATTTGGGGGCAGGGGGATTTTTTTGTTTGTTTGTTTCAGTTTTTATGTAGGGTTTTGGGGGTTTTGTTTTGGGTTTTTTTTTAATAAGTAAGCATAGTCACATTTTGCCAGAGGCCTATAACATAGCTCATTTTTCTGATTTTTATCTAATTTTATTCTGAGGCAGGAATAACACCCATTTTCTGTAAGACCACACAAACTTTTCAGGCAATTTTCTTTTCTTTCCCTTCTTGCAGTTATAGTAGTAACAGCAGTTTAAAAGTTTGAGTTTTTTAAAAATTCTGTAACAGAACTACTAAATTTCCTTACAGTATAACGTAGGCTATTGGGAGTGCTGCCAGCACTAATGCCAACTAATGTCTTGTTATTTTATTGTACTCTACCAAAGTCTTATCTCTAGTCTTAATTTATGCAGTCACAAGAGTGCAGGACAGTATTTTTGTTTAGTCCCTTGTATAATTAACTTTGGGCTTATAATTACTTGCCGTGCTTTGCAGCCCTGATAACACTATCCACTCCATCACTATCTTTACTGGAACACATAAACAACTTAGCTGTGAGCATTTAGCAATTGTTAATCCAACCTTGTCAGTTATATGGGCCCAAGAGTTTTACCATAGCTCACCACTTTCCTCCCTTTATTAAACAATAAGTCCTTCAAATAAACCCATCTATTACTAACCAATCTGACTGGTCAGCATAAGTTATCATGGGTTGGGTAAAACAAAAATCAAGATTGACAAGCATTTCCTTTTTATTCCAGCAACCACCAGAAACAGCTTTAGTTTCTGTTATGAAACAATAGGTATCAAACAGGTATATCACGGAAACACAGAAAGGTAGGGGTTGGAAGGGACCTCTGGAGATCATCTAGTCCAACCCCCCTGCCAAAGCAGGTTCACCTAGAGCAAGTTGAACAGGAACCCAGGCAGGTTTTGAATATCTCCAGAGATGAAGACTCCACAACCTCCCTGGGCAGCCTGTTCCAGTGCTCTGTCACCCTCACAGTAAAGAAGTTTTTTGTGTTTAAGTGAAATCAGTCCTGTGTTCCAGCTTTTGCCTGTTGCCCCTTGTCCTATCAATGGCCACCACTGAAAAGAGTCTGGCCCCATCCTCTTGACACCTGCTTGTTAGGTATTTGTAAACATTAATAAGGTCCCCTCTCAGTTACGAGGAAAGGCATTAAAATTATGCTGATGAGACTTCACTATTATCTGAATAAATACATGGAGATTAAAAGCACAATAGAAAACTTAAAACCATAAGAAAAAAACAAGGGTGATCTTGGGGGAAAAAAAACACCCAAAAAATCAAATCCCAAGAATTAATCATAGAATCATAGAATAGTTAGGGTTGGAGGGGACCTTAAAGAGACGTAATTTCTGAGCAAGCATGGGTTGAAGGAGGTTGGATTTGTGCAAAGGGACACATTCAAACCCTCTATTTTAGACCTTGCAGTGCCCCCCAAAGAGGGCATTCCACAGGGAGAGGCAAGTGCTTTTGCCAGGCCTGTCTCTTCACTCACTGTCCCTAAGCTCTTCAGTAACGTGTTTCCGTTTCCTTTAGAGAAAGCTTATTGGGGCAGCATGGGCAGCCTCGGAATGTAGCAGTTAAAAACAAAGCTACCCCTTGACTGTAAATATTCCCAGAGTTAACTTGTTCTGCATAACCAGCATGATGAGTTACCCTCCTGGTCTTAGGCATCAGTGCTGTGTTTCAGTTGGCATTCAGGTAGTCTCTGAGATACATCTTGCTCAATTATTTTTTCCCTGCATTGAGAACACACAGATCCTAACTAAAGAAACAAGATGCTATAAAAAAAGATCTGTTTCAATTATCATATTCTGCTTCTAGAGAAAAACAAGCCATAAGGATCTTAATTCTACTCTACCAACTGACTCAAAGTAGTAATACAATTTTAGTATAAAGTACAAATATAGCCACTATGAAGAGAGAACATTAAAAAAAAAAAAAAAAGCCCAGACTAATTCAAAATTAACAATGAAAAACTGACATTAAAACAAGAATTGAGAGTACAATGTGGAAACTGCTTATGAAAATGAATGTTACATTAGCAAAGTCAAATATTGTGGTCAGTTAATAATTTAGTATCTTAACATAATAACAATAATAACAATAATAATAATAAAATATCTATCTCCATTTTTTTTCTCCTCCCCTACTTTGTAGGTTAACACTATTTTTTAAATAAGTTTTCTTAGGAGTTACCTATGGATGCAAAGAAAATGATGGCAAGAAAGTCACGTATTGGTTCAATACACGACATAATCTCCTCAGTAACCATGTGACCCTGAGAAGAGATCAGAGCTCCGGCTAAGAAGCATCCCAGCTCCATTGAAACATCCAACAGCTCTGTGATCTGCCAAGAAATAACAGAAAGATCTATTGCTGTTCTCTCGCCCTGATTGACTTTATATACCATTTCACAGTGAAATTATAAAACTGTACATTGTACTGAATGCAGTAAATTACTGTGTCTTTACGCAAGTTCAACAACAAGTAGAATTCAGCATATTTATTTCAGTGTTCTGCAGTACTGTATTTATACAGAAGACTCACAAAACCAGTTTCCCCTCCACAGGTTATTGCCTTCTCCACAAAAACAAAAATAAATTTCTTAATCTACATTGTAATGCTTTGGGTCACTCTTACGGATAGCATCTGATTTCACAAAAATGAAAGACCGTAACAGCTTTGGAGTCAGGATTGCATAATACATTGAGGCTGTGAAATACAGCAGTCAGAACAGCATATTTTCCAGCTGTCAAAGCAGAGGAAAAAATAAAAATCAAAGCTTATAATTTGGGAGAATAGTCTCAATTTAGCACAAGTCCTAGGCATAAATTACGTTTTATTATTGTAAATTGGACTTAAATGTGCCTGTATGCTTTACTGAATAGGGATGCATTTAAACATGTGAAGTAAACTGCTGAAATGAAGCAAGATATCTGTGAAACCACCACACTGTTTGAAAGAATTCATACTGCTCTTCATTCTTTTTTATTATTTGAATACAGTTACCAGAAGGAAGAGATGAAACACACGTAAAGAGACTGAACTAAACCAAATAAACTGCTCAAGGCAATGCTTGGAACATTAAAAAAAACAAGCAGCACTTTTAGTTGCTATAAAGTATGTTTTAAAATAATTACTTTAAAACCATGCTGCTGCACACGGTCGTCTTACTGAGAAAGGGCAATGCTATTAATATTAATAGAATATTGAAGACTTATTTCCATACTCATTTAGATTAAGCAACAATACACCACAGTACATTTATGAACAACACTCATCATATCCTGAATGTTGTTACACTGTAAAGTATGAAGCTAAAACTCAAATGAGTTGAAATTAGTGGAGGACAGCAAAAGACACAAAAAAAAAAGTCTCCAAGGTATGCATAAAATGCCACCTAAAAATAAACCCCTTTAGTGTATTAAAGTATTAACGTTGGAACACTCATCACATAACTCCATTTGTGCTAACTGTCTGTGATTTATTGCAAGATATTTAAGAAAAAGAATTGGTTCTGTCAACTAATGCAAATAGTTGTTGATCAGGTAAAACCAACAAAACATCATTATAATGTTACCTTCATTTTAAAACAAAAGTAATTTCAGTGCTTTTCACCACAATTTGAAACTGTAAGAGGAAAGAAGGAAATATATATAAAAGGCTTTAAAATCTCAAAAAGATGAATAAAATAAAGGAAACATTTCAGTTTTTCCTCAATCACATTAGTTTGTTTAAAAGTCACAACCTCTTGAGTATGATTAAAATCCAATATAACCTCTTCAAATAAAGCTGTAATTATTTTTACTATTCTGCTATAATCCACCCACACTTAAGTGTTACCAGCTATAACAGAGCTCCATACCAAAACTTTTATAGCTAATATTTTAATTATTTACACGTACATGGTTAGGTTACCATGTAAGAAGAGATTTATCATCTCTTGTATCAGAATTGCATGATACTGTGCTGATATAAGAATCACTATTCAACCAAGGAGCAACTTAAGTGTGAAAGAAACATGCTTGTTCAGAAAGCATCAGACGTAACTGGAATAAATTGTATGTCCGTCTGGATTTACTCCTACCGCATAAAAACTGAAATCCATTCCTTCACTCTATAGCAAGCTGAGTTCAAGGGCCTGGCAGATAAAAAGGCAAATTTTGCTATTTCTTTTCTACTCTCTAGGTACTGGACAACTTCAGCTCTACAAAATCTACAGGTCACTCAGAGAGAAGCGTGAAGTGGGAAGAAAAGAACCAAAAATTACATTATTTTCTTAATCACA